TTTCACCTTCATTGTATTATCACCTGACCTAATGCGGGTATAAAATCAACTAGTATTGTAAGATCTGTTCACTTGAGAATGAACCATGGAGGTTCGAAACGTCGTGCAAATTATACAAATAAGTGTAATACACTCTATAGTAAATCACTTCTTTTCTTCACCTTAAAAGTGCGAAAATGAGTTTTGGAGAACTCCTATTTCAATTAAGCCCTGATGCTAAGAAAATAGTTAGAGGGATAGAAGCCCTAAACCAGAAAATAATAAATACAGAATATGCGGTCATATTCAATGAAATATATATATATATATATATATATATATATATATATATATATATATATATATATATATATATATATATATATATATATATATCTTTCGTACATTACGCTTCACTGTTGGAGGTAAATCAAAAATCACTTCTCCAAAATTCATTTTTATTTCTAGTCTGACGCAACACGGGCGCGTTTCGTAAAACTTATTACATTTTCAAAGACTTCACAAATACACAACTGATTAGAACGTATCTCTGATTTTACATCTACATTTGAGTGAGGTGGGAAGGGTGATGTGGCATTAACACAAGACAGAACAGGAGGGGATATTAATAGGGTATTAAAAGTATCAACACAAGACAGAACAGAAACAATGGGTATTGAATAGAAGTGTTTGTAGAAAGCCTATTGGTCCATATTTCTTGATGCTTCTATATTGGAGCGGAGTCTTGAGGTGGGTAGAATATAGTTGTGCAATAATTGGCTGTTGATTGCTGGTGTTGACTTCTTGATGTGTAGTGCCTCGCAAACGTCAAGCCGCCTGCTATTGCTGTATCTATCGATGATTTCTGTGTTGTTTACTAGGATTTCTCTGGCGATGGTTTGGTTATGGGAAGAGATTATATGTTCCTTAATGGAGCCCTGTTGCTTATGCATCGTTAAACGCCTAGAAAGAGATGTTGTTGTCTTGCCTATATACTGGGTTTTTTGGAGCTTACAGTCCCCAAGTGGGCATTTGAAGGCATAGACGACATTAGTCTCTTTTAAAGCGTTCTGTTTTGTGTCTGGAGAGTTTCTCATGAGTAGGCTGGCCGTTTTTCTGGTTTTATAGTAAATCGTCAGTTGTATCCTCTGATTTTTGTCTGTAGGGATAACGTTTCTATTAACAATATCTTTCAGGACCCTTTCCTCCGTTTTATGAGCTGTGGAAAAGAAGTTCCTGTAAAATAGTCTAATAGGGGGTATAGGTGTTGTGTTAGTTGTCTCTTCAGAGGTTGCATGGCTTTTCACTTTCCTTCTTATGATGTCTTCGATGAAACCATTGGAGAAGCCGTTATTTACTAGGACCTGCCTTACCCTACAGAGTTCTTCGTCGACTTGCTTCCATTCTGAGCTGTGGCTGAGAGCACGGTCGACGTATGCGTTAACAACACTCCTCTTGTACCTGTCAGGGCAGTCGCTGTTGGCATTTAGGCACATTCCTATGTTTGTTTCCTTAGTGTAGACTGCAGTGTGGAAACCTCCGCCCTTTTCCATGACTGTTACATCTAGAAAAGGCAGCTTCCCATCCTTTTCCGTCTCGTAAGTGAAACGCAGCACGGAACTCTGCTCAAATGCCTCCTTCAGCTTCTGCAGATGTCTGACATCAGGTACCTGTGTAAAAATGTCGTCAACATACCTGCAGTATATGGCCGGTTTCAAGTTCATGTCGACTAAGACTTTTTGCTCGATGGTACCCATGTAGAAGTTTGCAAACAGGACACCTAGGGGAGAACCCATGGCGACCCCATCTACTTGCTTATACATGTGCCCATCCGGGCTCAAGAAGGGTGCCTCTTTAGTACAAGCTTGGAGTAGTTTCCTCAGAATACTTTCTGGCATGTCAAGAGGAGTACAGGCTGGATCACGATACACTCTGTCGGCTATCATTCCGATTGTCTCGTCCACAGGTACGTTGGTAAACAGCGATTCTACGTCCAACGAGGCTCTTATCCCTGTGGCCCGTGTGCCCCGCAGTAAGTCCACAAATTCCTTTGGAGACTTCAGGCTGAAGGCGCAAGGAACATAAGGAGTCAGCAGGCCGTTGAGTCGCTTTGCCAGTCTGTACGTGGGTGTGGGTATCTGGCTAATGATTGGCCGAAGTGGGTTTCCAGGCTTGTGCGTCTTCTCCCCTAGGTGTCCTGTTTGCAAACTTCTACATGGGTACCATCGAGCAAAAAGTCTTAGTCGACATGAACTTGAAACCGGCCATATACTGCAGGTATGTTGACGACATTTTTACACAGGTACCTGATGTCAGACATCTGCAGAAGCTGAAGGAGGCATTTGAGCAGAGTTCCGTGCTGCGTTTCACTTACGAGACGGAAAAGGATGGGAAGCTGCCTTTTCTAGATGTAACAGTCATGGAAAAGGGCGGAGGTTTCCACACTGCAGTCTACACTAAGGAAACAAACATAGGAATGTGCCTAAATGCCAACAGCGACTGCCCTGACAGGTACAAGAGGAGTGTTGTTAACGCATACGTCGACCGTGCTCTCAGCCACAGCTCAGAATGGAAGCAAGTCGACGAAGAACTCTGTAGGGTAAGGCAGGTCCTAGTCAATAACGGCTTCTCCAATGGTTTCATCGAAGACATCATAAGAAGGAAAGTGAAAAGCCATGCAACCTCTGAAGAGACAACTAACACAACACCTATACCCCCTATTAGACTATTTTACAGGAACTTCTTTTCCACAGCTCATAAAACGGAGGAAAGGGTCCTGAAAGATATTGTTAATAGAAACGTTATCCCTACAGACAAAAATCAGAGGATACAACTGACGATTTACTATAAAACCAGAAAAACGGCCAGCCTACTCATGAGAAACTCTCCAGACACAAAACAGAACGCTTTAAAAGAGACTAATGTCGTCTATGCCTTCAAATGCCCACTTGGGGACTGTAAGCTCCAAAAAACCCAGTATATAGGCAAGACAACAACATCTCTTTCTAGGCGTTTAACGATGCATAAGCAACAGGGCTCCATTAAGGAACATATAATCTCTTCCCATAACCAAACCATCGCCAGAGAAATCCTAGTAAACAACACAGAAATCATCGATAGATACAGCGATAGCAGGCGGCTTGACGTTTGCGAGGCACTACACATCAAGAAGTCAACACCAGCAATCAACAGCCAATTATTGCACAACTATATTCTACCCACCTCAAGACTCCGCTCCAATATAGAAGCATCAAGAAATATGGACCAATAGGCTTTCTACAAACACTTCTATTCAATACCCATTGTTTCTGTTCTGTCTTGTGTTGATACTTTTAATACCCTATTAATATCCCCTCCTGTTCTGTCTTGTGTTAATGCCACATCACCCTTCCCACCTCACTCAAATGTAGATATAAAATCAGAGATACGTTCTAATCAGTTGTGTATTTGTGAAGTCTTTGAAAATGTAATAAGTTTTACGAAACGCGCCCGTGTCGCGTCAGACTAGAAATAAAAATGAATTTTGGAGAAGTGATTTTTGATTTACCTCCAACAGTGAAGCGTAATGTACGAAAGATTGAGAAAATTCGTGTTAGAATTATTAATCTTACTTTTTCGGTCATATTTAATAATATATATATATATATATATATATATATATATATATATATATATATATAAAGTAATTATCACACCATGACTACCTAACAAAAAGGATACCTTAACAAAAGGATTGGACAAAACAAATATTTCTAGCCCCGGTGTTTGAAATATAATGCCTGACAAAGGTTAAATTCCTCCTGTGTATGCTGGTAAAACCCACTTACACACATCACGACCTGTGTGCCCATGCCGGAGCGTTACACTTGGACAGTACGAAGATTACATTCCAGTAACAAGATAACCAAGAAAACATGTTTGAAACGTTGATAGCAATTTATCCCTTGTGCATACGTGTATACTGGTAATACTCTGTCAACAAACTTTCCTTGGTGTATAAAAACATTTACGTTACTAGTCAACAAACTCCTCTGAGGTATACATACACTACGCTACTAGTCAACAAACTCCCTGATGTATACAAGCTTACGTTACTGGTCAACAAACTCCCCTGGGGTATACATACACTACACTACTAGTCAACAAACTCCCAGATGTATACAAGCTTACGTTACTGGTCAACAAACTCCCCCCCCCTGGTGTATACAAGCACAATGTTACTAGTCAACAAACTTTCCTAAGTGTATATAAGCACTACGTACGGTACTGGTCAACAAACTCTCCCTAGCTCAAGAGTTCTGAGGAGCGAGTTGACGCTTCATAATCGCACAAAAACTCGTATTAATATTTCTAATAATACTCTAACGGAAAACAAAATGCGTAGCATCTGTATTACAGGCGTCGATTGATTCACAACGCAATTAATTTAGACTCGGGTTAATTACAAGTCGAAAGAGGATATTGCGTTTCGTGAAACGTCAAATGATGTTTCATCTCATCTGCAGAGTAACTCCGAGAGAATTTATCGCCGTGCAGCTAAAAAATAGCACCCTTTAAACGGGAAGAATGTTGCTTAGTGGAGAGCCTTTTGTGAGGCGAGGGTGAGGCTCCGAGGCGCTCCAGCACGGGTTAATTGGAAAGTTGTCTTATGCTAATGGACGCTGCTCCGTACAGCGGTATCCAGGATCTGATGAGCTTTATCTTGCATTGTATCTTGCTTAAACACAGGAATCTACGTGAAGAATCCTACTTACATTATAAGACGATGTAACATGCTCGAGCACAACGTTAACTTACATCACACTAAATATCTAAGATTAAAGTTGTTCGTTAAAGAATATGTAAGTGCAGCTGGTGTTCCTAGAGCCAAGTACACAGCGCTTGCATCAATCTTTCATTTACACGGAAATTACTGCTCTTGTCCTGAAATTGTAAAATATGATTCTGAAAGTTATTTACTGTTGATATAAGATGTTGTCTGTGAAAACTGGCACGCACAGTGGAGGCGGTACACATGATCGATGCAGACTTGCATACACTATGTTTCCCTCCGTACAGCAGACCTTCACCACAGTGTTACCCTCCGTACAGCAGACCATCGCACACTGTGTTACCCTCCGTACAGCAGACCATCGCACAGTGTTACCCTCCGTACAGCAGACCATCGTACAGTGTTACCCACCGTACAGCAGACCATCGCACAGTGTTACCCTCCGTACAGCAGACCATCGCCCACTGTGTTACCCACCGTACAGCAGACCATCGCCCACTGTGTTACCCACCGTACAGCAGACCATCGCCCACAGTGTTACCCACCGTACAGCAGACCATCGCCCACAGTGTTACCCACCGTACAGCAGACCATCGCCCACAGTGTTACCCACCGTACAGCAGACCATCGCCCACAGTGTTACCCACCGTACACCAGACCATCGCCCACAGTGTTACCCACCGTACAGCAGACCATCGCCCACAGTGTTACCCACCGTACAGCAGACCATCGCCCACAGTGTTACCCACCGTACAGCAGACCATCGCCCACAGTGTTACCCACCGTACAGCAGACCATCGCCCACAGTGTTACCCACCGTACAGCAGACCATCGCCCACAGTGTTACCCACCGTACAGCAGACCATCGCCCACAGTGTTACCCTCCGTACAGCAGACCATCGCCCACAGTGTTACCCACCGTACAGCAGACCATCGCCCACAGTGTTACCCACCGTACAGCAGACCATCGCCCACGGTGTTACCCGCCGTACAGCAGACCATCGCCCACAGTGTTACCCACCGTACAGCAGACCATCGCCCACGGTGTTACCCGCCGTACAGCAGACCATCGCCCACAGTGTTACCCACCGTACAGCAGACCATCGCCCACGGTGTTACCCACCGTACAGCAGACCATCGCCCACAGTTTACCCACCGTACAGCAGACCATCGCCCACGGTGTTACCCACCGTACAGCAGACCATCGCCCACAGTGTTACCCACCGTACAGCAGACCATCGCCCACGGTGTTACCCGCCGTACAGCAGACCATCGCCCACAGTTTACCCACCGTACAGCAGACCATCGCCCACGGTGTTACCCACCGTACAGCAGACCATCGCCCACAGTTTACCCACCGTACAGCAGACCATCGCCCACGGTGTTACCCGCCGTACAGCAGACCATCGCCCACGGTGTTACCCACCGTACAGCAGACCATCGCCCACAGTGTTACCCACCGTACAGCAGACCATCGCCCACAGTGTTACCCACCGTACAGCAGACCATCGCCCACAGTGTTACCCACCGTACAGCAGACCATCGCACCCAGAGCAAGCTACGCCAGATCACTTCAGAGTACGTCAGGCTTTGCCAGAATACGTCAAAGCATGTCAGAGCACATTTATCAACTGCAACTTAAACTCGGGTTCGTTCTCGACTCACAATCGGGAGTTCAAAGTTCGAATCCCGGCCAGGACAGAAAAGGTTGGCCCGTTTCCCATCACCTAATGCATCTGTTCACCTAGCAGTAGATAGATACCCAGGAATTAGCTTGTTGTCGATTGCCTCCTGAGGGTCAGTAGTTTGACACTACCGAAGGGGGAAAGGGGGCGGAAACCTGGATAAAAGCCTAGCATGTTTATACTCTGTCTGTCCCTCGCTAAAATGAATTATTATAAAAAAGGATGACAGGCAGGAGGCACTAAATTACAGGCCAGTGTCCTTAACTTGTATATCATGCAAGATGATGGAGAAGATTGTGAGAAAACCCTTCCGTCACATCTGGAGAGAAGCGACTTTGTAACACACCAACAACATGACTTTGTATGTTAAATTGTCTCATAAATTTAATAGAAATCTATAGCAAGGTGATAAAAATTAAAAAAGAGAACGGTTGGCAAACTGCACTTTCTTGGATTGTCAGAAAGCCTTACACACATTACCCCAAAAGTGATTGGATGCATAACTTAAAAGAAACAGGCAAGAGTAACAGGTAAGGTACTCCTGTAGATAATAAGACGGTTCCTAAGCAACTCAAAATAAGAGTTAGTGTTAGGAGGGTTTGTACACGTCTTAAAATGGCGAGATGTCACTAGCGGATTCCCACAGGGTTCTGTACTCGTACCTATCTTGTTTCTGAAATACGAAACCAACGATCTTCTAGAGGTTATAGATTTATTCCTCCCAATGTTTACTGATGCTAAAATTATGAGAAGGATTAAGACAGAGGAAGACAGCAAACGACTACAAATCGACCTGAACAAACTGATGGAATAGCCCAACAAGTGGCTACTAGAGGTTTAACTCCAGCAAGTGTAAAGTAATGAAAATAGGTGCAGGAAGTAGGAGGCAGGACACTAGATACCAAATGGTAAACGGAATCCTTCAAGAATCGCGTAGAGAAAGATCTAAGGGTTGACGTTCCTCCGAACCTACCTCCTGAAGCCCACATGAAAAGGCTATCATCAGCGGCATATTCAAGAGGCTGATCAACATAAGAATTGCTTTTAAAAATTTGTGCAAGGAACCATTTGGGACGCTTTATACCACATATCAGACCAATGCAGGAGTATGCGGCTCCAGTATGGAGTCCATATCTATTTAATAACAATAAGAAGTTAGATAAAGTTAAGAGGCATGCCACCAGACTAGTTCTCGAGGGTGAAAGCTACGAAGAAAGACTATTTGAATTAAATCTCGTCACCAGAGAACAGAAGAGTTATGGGAAGAGAAGATTATCACCTACAAAATTCTTCGAAGAATTGACAGGGTGGATAAGGACAGACTATTTAACAAGGGTGGTACTCGCACAAAGGAACCCAGGCGGAAACTGCGTACCCAAATGGGCCACGAAGACAGAACTGTTTCAGTGTCAGAGTGGTTAACAAATGGAATACATTAGGAAGTGATGTGATGGTGGCAGACTCCATAGACAGTTTCAAGTGTAGATATGATGGAGCCCAATAGGTTTAGGAACCTGTACACCTTTTGATTGACAGTTCAGAGGCGAGACCAAAGAGCCGAAGCTCAACCCCCCCCCCCCTCCCTTCCACACTCAAGAACAACAGGGTGAGTACAACTAGGTGAGTTAACGCGAGAGCATACAGCAGTACACAGTACATAGTAGTGAATGTAGCAACACAGTGTACATGAGAGCACACAACACCCCGCAACACTTCCCACCAACACACAACACACCACAACAACGAGGACAGAATGAGAAAATGGGAGGGCAATAATGCCTAAGGTTTAGTGGTGGTGGGAAGAGCCTCCCTGCACAGTGAAGGGTGTGGGGGGCCGGCCAGGGAGGCTGTCAGCCGGAACGCCTCGCCTCCTCTATTGTACATGTGTGTTCATTTAACTTTCAGCACGGGAGTTCCGGCATTACAACTTGTACTCTGTGGAAATTCAGCTATTTACAGATAGATCTAAACTTATGTTGCATGAAACGGTAAACCAATTTAATTGCAAATGAACAAATATCTGAAATTCTTGCTCGGTGTCCATTTTCCGCTTCTAATAAATAAAGGAAAAATGACGATGAAAACACGCAATAAAATCGCGATGACGTAATGTATCTATGCGAAAAATTTACCGCGAGATCGAGCAGGTTCACTCCCGTCGTCCTGCTCCAAATATTTTAACATTGGGATAGCATAGGTTGTGTTGCCCTAATGTCATCCCTAACACTTTCACTACCCTGTAACATTCAATATTAAAAATAAGTGTTGCAAAAATTACTTACCGTCAACGTGCAACAATATTTTATAATATATAGCTGCGGTGAAAGCAATGCTGTGTTACAACCTCTCTATAACTGAGAGCAAGTTGTGTATGGGATGTACAATGATATACCGTTCACACGATGAGTTTGGGATGACAATAAACTAGGCGCCGCTGGTGGCAACACCATTCGCATATCCGTTGTTATTGACTACCAGTGTTTCCTGATATTTGATACTGAACAATGATTTGTTATTATTATATCGTAGACGGAGAGACAGACGGACAGGCAGACAGACATACGGAGGGACGGACGAAGGAACAAAGGAACAGTACGAGTTGTTGTTTTAGATTTAGCTACTAAGAACGAAATGTCCATGTAGCACGGGCTATGATGAGCCCATAATTAAGTTCGGGTATTCGCAATAACTTTGTTACTCTGATATTTGGGTCAAAGTATTAAATGGAGGTGGGGTTTCCTCCTTTTTCCCTATTTCTTTTTCGCTTCTGTTTTCTGCTTCTTCTGTCTTCTGTGCCACCTCTTTGGTGGCTTAACGTTCATCAATCAATCAATCAGCATGGTAGCACAAGATATGCACAATGCGTACGTTGACCAGACCACACACTAGAAGTTGAAGGGACGACGAATGCGTTGAATGCGTACGACCTGAGCGTGTCTCTGAGGAGTGAACACGAACAAAGAAGGCCAGAGGCCTGGTCGTAGAGTGCACAGTACGTCGCGTGGTCGTGCCTGGCCAGATACGATGAAGACTGTCACGCAAAGGTTACTTCTCGCGCCCACTGATCGAAATCTCTGAAAGTCAAGTGATTTTTGCTAATAAATATTTCCAACTGCGTTGTCGCTAACTGCGGCATTGTGACACGAGAAGATAATTAACCTTTTCTTCTACCGACTAGGAGAATAAATATAATTTATTCATTTATTAATTAATAATACTAGCAACACAAAGTTATTTATAATCTTAATAAAATTAATAATACGTATTATTATTATTATTATTACGCCTAATTATTACCCAAGCGGCGGCGTATTTGTTTGTGGTGGGGGCTGGTTCTGGGGCGCCAGTATTCATCTCTCCATCTATATTCTCCTGATTGTTTGACGCATCACCGATAATGGTGGCACGAGCGGACACACACCAGCACGCTACACACACCGTACACAAAGAAGGAATAATATCAGAACGTCTAGTGTCCTATAACAGTGTTCAAACTGAGCCAGGACGCGCCTCACTCTGTGAATGATGAAGTACTGAGCACATGATGTACAATGTCCTCATGATGAAGTACTGAGTACATGATGTACAATGTCCTCATGATGAAGTACTGAGTACATGATGTACAATGTCCTCAACAACTTTATTATAATCATTCTATATATGTGCGCGTCCTTCATGTCTTTCAATAAAACATAATGTCTGTATCTGTACGAAGTTGGAGGCCAGACGCTTGAGGATAGGCTTATCCAACCTTATTTTTTTTTAATTTTGCCCAGAGGGACGAGTTTATTGGGCAGCGCCATTCATCCTCTTAGTGGACTTACCGCCATAGTAGCATACCTTACCTTGAGGTTACCTTGAGGTGATTTCGGGGCTCAGCGACCCCGCGGCCCGGTCGTCGACCAGGCCTCCTCGTTGCTGGACTGGTCAATCAGGCTGTTGGACGCGGCTGCTCGCAGCCTGACGTATGAGTCACAGCCTGGTTGATCAGGTATCCTTTAGAGGTGTTTGTCAAGTTCTCTCTTGAACACTGTGAGGGGTCGGCCAGTTATGCCCATTGTGTGTAGCGGAAGCGTGTTGAACAGCATGAACGTCCCAGCATGCACAACACCTCCCAATAGGAAGAAAACCCGTTCCTTGGACCGTTATTGCTGTTGGGTGCCTGCCCAACATTGTCGGGACGAGGTCAGCACAATTCAAAAGAGAACAGCAACTTCCATAACGATTTTGGAACTGGCTCCTGACTGTCATCTGGCTCAGTGATTCCGAACCTAATTTTGTTTGGAGAAACCCTTTAACTATTTTGTAAAGTGTGGGGAAGCCCACACCTCGCTCACGCATCTAAGGTTCGACAGCGTTCAAATACAAAATAGACGTAAAAAGCACTGGGGGAGATAAATAAGAGTTGATAAATAAATTAAGACCTTTTAAGATGTATATTAAAATAGCTGATCATACTGGGATTATGAGAACTTGCTCTCTGAGTCTCCAACCAACCCGTCCTCTCAACCAGTACGTCTCATATTGTACTCTATGGTCTCCAACTTACAAATGACGTAGTACTACGAAAAGTAGCGGCTCACAAATATCCACATTTTCTTTGCATAGGAAGGTTAGGTCAGGTGGGTTGCTTGGATTCGTGCATTTTTGCTCTGACTGGGACTTTGTATGTTGTTGCAAATCAAGAGAACGGGTTCTCTCTGCCCACCTCTCCTTATCACACTTCGTCCCAGCCTGGCCTCCACTCATCCCTCGAGGGCCGTACTCTCCCTCCCGCCGTGGCCCGGGGCATGAGTTCGGCCACTGAGGACTAATCTGTCTGGCCTGACACTAACCACACTCGGGGCCCGATAACAACAACTCACACAACAAACATCTCTTGTGAGGGAGCGACTCCAGTCCAGGATCTGGCTAGTCCCTGGGGACTGCCGTACTTGTGCGTGTGTACTCACCTAGC